CTAAGGAATTTGACAATTAAACAACTCTACCTCTTTACATGCAAAAAAAAAACTCCAATTTTCAAATTTCACCAAAACCCTCCAAATTAAATTTTGCTTCGATCGATTCGAAGCTCTCGACACATGATGTGTGCCAAATTATACCACTCGTAATAACAAGAATCTCTGTAGGATAGGGTTATATTAAGGTTGTCGAACCCACAGAGAGATGTGTCATTTACTTAAGTGTTCAATTAATCTGATTTTGATTCAAAGAGAAAAGAATGTTTGATTGGTTGTTTGTCATGACCACAAAATAAAATTAAACTAAATTAAAGTAAAGAGATCAGAGAGAGAGAATCTTAGGGATTGACTTCACCACGAATTTCATTTTATGGTCAACCATTCAACCTTGGAATTTCAACAATTTACATATCATATGAATTAAACTCAATAACATTCATTTAATTCGATTTTAGAAAAAGATGTTTCATGAATTTCAATTAACAATAACCTATCTTCGGTTAGCACGAATTATATATCTACCTACCTACTTCTAACTAATATTGTAGTATAACTCGTCTTCCTTAGGCATAGCCTATAAAAATATTTATTAATAAAAAACATTGGAACACCATTGCATGATCTCTATTATTACTGTCGAGAAGCCCTTATACTGCCATCTCGTACATTAAGAATAGGTTGAGATTAATTTAAAAATAATAAAATCTAGGACAAGGTATTAATTATTCAAAAACTATTTATTTCATTAAAACACCAATTTATGTGATTCAATTACTCATAATCATGCAATCAAAATATATAAATAATTAAATTCCCAAAGTTAGAACAATCAAACCATAATACTCAAATCGGGTTACATCAATGCCCTAAAAGAGGATTTAGATGCTCATGATGACGCAAGATATCATCTATGTTGTTGTGGTCTTTATCATCATGAACTGCACTTCTCTTTTCAAGATTTTCACCTTTAATAACTACAAAAATCCTAAAAGCCGCCACTAGAACTGAACAAAAAAACTGAAATAAAAATAGAGAGAATCGAGTGTGTTTTCTATGGCCTTATGCCTCATTTTATAGAAGAATTGACTTCTAATAATGCTTTGATGGGCTTTAGGTCTTCTAAGATCATCTAGGCCTTTCTAGTAAGAAATATGACATAATTAGAACAAATCCCGCAACTTAAAATTCTGACTTATCAACAATGGCTCAAGCCTAGAAGCTTCAGCTTGAGCTATTTAGGCAATGGCTCGAGCTATTTGGAAGGGGGCTCGAGCCCAACTTCTATACTTAGCCAAATTTCTTCAAGTCTTTTCCGAAACGTCTTTTTCATCAATACTTAGAATATTTTTAAGATTCTTCTTTAATAGTGCTCCATCATCTTAGGTTGGTGCTTGAGCCTTGGGACTCCGGCTCAAGCTTTTTAGGAAAATGCTAGAGCTATTTGACTTTGGCTCGAGCTCTTTGGCTTTGGATCGAGGTCCTGACAACATGGAATTTTCAAAGCATCTTTTCATATTCTGAGGCATATTCTGCTCGAGATTTTTGGTAAAGGCTTGAACACCTTAAGGTTCGGCTCGAGCCTAGAGATCTCGGCTCGAGCTATTTTGCCTTAGTGGAATTTCTTGCTTCTTGGTTTTGTGCTCGAGCCAAGCGACTTAAGCTCGAACTGTGATACTTGAACTTCTCCAAAATTCCCCATTTTGACTCCAAGCTTGCTTCAGATAATCGGCAACGACTCTGTAAGCTTCGATATCAGTCTTTTCATCTTAAAGTCCCGGTTTACCATTTCTTTGGATAAGTATCTACAAACACGAAGTAAACATAAATCGGTTTAATAATGGATAAAAATATCACTTTAGGTCCTAACATACGTATATTTAGGAACTCGAATATGCAATATTCAGCGTTCATCAACACGCTTTCTGTCTTTGCTTTTTATGGCATCAACAAAATCCAACATGAATGGGAGAGATCTAAGCTTAAAGCTTGAGAGAAAAAGAAAAAAAGAAAAAGAAATATAGAGAGAGGGAGCTTACAGCTTAGGAGGAAGAAAGGAAATGTAGAAAAAGTGACCCCAAATCCTATATATATCAACTTAAGTCAAGTGGGGTCCACGTGACCCAAAAATAATCTATTTTGTCCCCTTTTTGTATATACACATATATACACATGCTATAACACATATCTAAGCAGATATCCACATAAACATGCACCCAATAATAATGTCTGAAGTGTAATGATGCTGAAAAATAATTCCATGCACGATAAATCAGGGTGCGGGTCCCACCCGAGACCTCCTTGCCCAAAAATCCGTAAAATGCTGAAACGGCTAACAATGCATTTCTAAAAGTTCTAAATTCGAAGAAATGTCCCAACCAACTTTCGGGGCTCACACGGCAACCAAACGATGCTCGACACGTAAAACGAGGCAATAATAAACAAATTCAGAAAAATAGAAAAATGCCCAAAAAAATTGTGACACGTCACACTTTTGTAGAGACCCAGTTAGCTAAAAGTGATACAATGAGGCACATGCCAAAGAGCACGATGAATGATAAAAAGGGTACTCCTGAAAAGATCCAATTAGCTAACAATGATAAAGTTGTTTTTTTGATAAAACACACGCCCTTAATGTGGCAAAGAGACCTGACGAAGTGCAAGGACCAGACGAGGTTAAGTTAACTAACTATGATTATTTCAAAGGTACCTGAAAATAATGATATCTCAATAAATTATAAAAAAAGATGGAACAAAAATGAACTTGTCATCAACAACACATTCTCATATACAATGGCTGTTCATATAAACAATGAGGATCCGGAACCTCAAAATGAAAATGTCAAAGAAATTCGACTGTGACATGATTGGTCATCATGAAAATGAGCGATACAAACAGAGCTAATTATGGTGTCTTAAGGAGTATGAATGTCATATACAGATATAGCATATTGACAAACTCATGTTATGATTCATATACATACATAGTATATTGACAAATACATGTGATCAACATTTCTATCCAGTCCATATTCAACTATAAAACCATGATGATAATATGTTGTTGATATAAGCAATGAATATTTCTCCTTTTTGGAAACTGCATGGTTATGTATTTATATGGATCACTAGATAATGATATTTATGCAAAATCTAGAAAGGATTTAAAATTCCTGAAACAAAACCCCATGCTACATACTCGATAAAGTACCACAAATCTTATATGGATTGAATAATTTATGCGTATGTGATTCAATCATCTTAGCAAGTACTTACTCAATGAAACGTATGTAAATACTCCAATTTATCCATGTATTTTTATCTGAATCTGGTTTTGTTATTATTGCATTATTTATTGATAATCCTGAATCATGTTGGCACATCTAATGAGTTAGACCAAAATTCGAGATGAAAGATCTCAGAAAGACAAAATCTTGTCTTAGACATACAAAGAAAAACTTTTTCAGCATATCTCATGCTAAATATTGTTCTAGACATTGTTTCAAGTTATGAAAAATAATAATTTTTGATACAAACAAGTCCATATATAATATACACTCTCTGAGAATGCATTAGTTGTCATTGCGAAGATGAGGATATACTTGAAAATTCTTGGCCATTAGCTGATGAATCTAATGGATATGCTTGCATGAGCAGAGAAATTGAAAAATACTGCTGTCTTTTAATCGCTTGATGCTAACAATGTTAGATCAGCCACTGGAGACTGCATTTCAGTAATCATGCAGAATTTCACTAATGGGTTTGTTATGCAGTGGCGCCTGGCCTGAGTTCTTATAGCAGTCTTCCCTATTGTTGTAGAAGCCACTATTTTGTAGCTAATATAGCAATCTCCCCGAGGCTGTGAGCCACAAACAAGTGTCTTGGAGTATTCATTCTCATTCCAGATGTCCATGTTCGGATGTCAGCTCTTTTACAAATATAAGAAGTTTAGTACCAATAGATAATAAATGCTTATATGAACACAAGGCATCCGTGACAAGAAATATAGATCTAGTGTTCAATAATACCTTGTTGGCGCCTCAGTGTATAATGTTTATCACTCTAAATGAGAGAGTGGAAGCTTGAGTTCAAAGATGTTATAGAACCATAATCCGATTTTGAGTATCGAACGAGATAGTCAATTGTGTTGTCATAACCAATTTGATGGATAAGGGGAGTTAAATCTGAATTATCCCTGGCTTGAAGCTGGTTCCTAGAAATGCAACAATCATATTTATGAGGGGGAGTAGTTGATCAAAATCTTGGAGGTAATAAAACAACTATATATTCATACGAGGGGGAGTACTAAATTGAAAAGGTATTGGTATATTGTACTTTTTTTCCTTCGCTTAGGTTTTGTCCTACTGATTTTCCTGACAAGATTTTAATAAGACAGTTTTAACTTATGTAGTACCATTTTCTGACATACAAGAATTTTTCTAGAGATTTTTCTGAGTCTTTTTTTCCTAGTAAAGTTTTAATAAGGCATATTCTTCTTAGTGTAGTTGTACTCCGTTCATTCCAAAAAAAGGTGTATGTTCGGGAAAGTGGACTCACAGGGGAGCATATATAAGGAATGTTTGAAGATACTAAATAATTTATTGCCTTGTTGAAAAAAGAAAAAAAGAGCCAGATTCAAAACCATGGTCGATGAACGCGATTTCTCTCCATCTGCTTCTCTCTCCTCTTAAACGAATATTGTAGAGAAAAACAAGATCTGTAAGCGAAAAGATAATTATTGCACAGGAGCGCCACCGATTCTCTCTTATCTTCAGCGGATCATTTCCATCGTATCCAAGGCTGCGAAATAGAGCTTGAAGAAGGGATGTTGAAATTTAAAGGAAGAGATGGGTGGAGGTGGTATTGTGGTGGCGGCGTCTGGTGTAGGTGGTGGTGGGAGGAGTTGAAGAGAGAGAAAAACAGATGGAGATGGAGGAAAACGAAAAGGAGAGAGAAAAACAGATGGTGGTGGTGATGGTGGTGGTGGGAGGAGTTGAAGAGAGAGAAAAACAGATGGAGATGGAGGAAAACGGAAAGGAGAGAGAAAAAGATGGTGGTGGTGGTGGGAGGAGTTTGCAGAGGAGAGAGAAACAGATGGTGGGTCTGCGGACGATATACCGAGACTATTACAACTCGCAAGGAATTAATAAGGGCGAGCATAAATGACATTTCCCATTCACAGATATTTGTAACACATACCACTTATATATAAGTTATATAACACACCAAAAACAAAAAAAAAAGTAGTGACATAGAGCTGCCCAGATAGAAGTACATTTTAACAGTAAAATAACAAATTGCCAGACTCTTATCAGATGGGATTCACTTCAGAGGTTGGTTGGTTTGCTTGCCCGGTGTACCCTGCCGCAGCCTGAAATATGGACACTTTTAACACAAGATCCTTGATCAGCTCAAACACACAAACATCTCCTTCCACCAAATTATTTTCCCTTGCAAAAACTCTCCAACCCTTGCTTAATCTTGCCTGTTGATGTCCTCTTTCAGGTAAGTAACCGATATGCCACTCTCTTCCATCAGAAAGCTGAAGCTTAACGATATCTGTATCTGAAACACCAAGCAAATGCTTCGTCTTCTTGCCAAATTGCAATGGTATGTTCTGCATAAGAAAGAAAAGAAAAGAAAAAAAGGGATTTCTATCATTCCAACATCAAAGAGCAAAGAATACTACTTGGTATAATTAATTAAGATTAATTTATTGGGAGAAATATTCAGTTTGGTTCCAGTTATAAGTAGCTGGCACGGTTGGACATCTTTAAGACATCTTTAACTTTTTGACCGACGAAGCAACATGTGACATGAATCCAAAATTACTTGCCGAAGAAAAAAGAAATGAATTGAACATTGCTTCATGACCAATGATGCAGAATGTAACATGAATTCAAGGGCTCACCAGATAATAGGGGTGGTTTACATTATATGAACGCAATATAGCCATATGGAAAGGATTTTCAGACTTAACATTCTTGCAGAGTTAATTGCCCTGTGTCTTGCTTGGTTTATCACTGGTCCCCTTGTTGAACAAGTTATTGAAGAGGTGTTAATTCCAATCATTTCTTCGCACCACTCTTACAATACTTACTGGCAAAAAAAAAAAAAAAAAACAGAAAATAGAAAAAGAAAAACTTACTAGAAACAGTTCCTTGATTTGTAGTCTGAGAATATTTACTTGTGCCTCTATTTTTTTGAGTAGCCACTTGTGAACTTTTTGCCCTTTTTGTTGGATGATGCCCCTCTACATCAATTCTCTCCCTTTTGTCCTTAAGCTCACTCCCATTCAACAGATTAAAGCCCTGATCACTAACTGGTGGAGTCTGTGCTTGTAAATTCTCAACTTCTGCACACCTTACCAATGATTCATGAGCATCTGCAAATTATCAAATTAGGGATAAGAAACTCAATTCTTTCATCACTTCTGGCAGAAAAAAAAAAAAAAAGTCTGAAAGCTTACTAGAAACAGTTCTTTGATTTGTAGTCTGGGAATAATTGCTTTCGTCAATGCGAAATATGGAAACTTTTAGCACAAAATCCTTAACCTTCATCAGCTCAAAGACACAAGCATCTCCTTCCACCAAATTATTTTCCACTACAAAATTTCTCCAACCCTTGCTTAATGTTGCCCGTCGACCTGTGCAATAAATGCAACGGACATGCCACTCTCTTCCATCAGAAAGCTGAAGCTTAACAAAATCTGAAACACCAACCAAATATTTCATCTTCATGGAAAATTCCGTTGCCAAACTCTGCATAAGAAAGAAAAAAATAAATATATCATTCAAGCATCATACTGAAAATAGTATTTGAAGCTACATAATCAGCACAAGCAATAATCTTACACCATGCAACATAAAATCAAGGGCTCACCAGGAAAAAGTTTTGGTTTACATTATATGGACGCAATATAACCGTATGGAAAGGATTTTCAGACTTAAACATTCTTGCAGCATTAATTGCCCTCTCTCTTGCTTGGTTTATCACTTGTCCCCCTGTCGAACAAGTGTTGATACCAATGATTTTACACCATTTTCGTTTTACCAATGATTCTTGCCCATCTGCTATTTATCAAATTATTGACAAGAAAATCAACTGTTACATCACTTATGGCAGAAAAAAGTAGTATGAAAGCTTACTAGAAACAGTTCTTTGATTTGTAGTCTGATGACTTGTATCTTTATTTCTTTGAGTTGCCACATGTGAACTATTTGCAATTTTTGTTGGATTCTGCTCCTCTTCATTAATTCTATATGTTTTGTCCTTAAGTTTACTCTCATTTGACCGATCAAAACCCCTATCAAGAACAGGTGGTGCCGGTGCTCGCAAATTCTGAACATTCTTAGTCACAAACTGGTCCTTTCTCTTGGATTTATCCAACAAAGAATCATGCCCGTTTGATGTTTCGCTTCTGCTTGCTTTTCTTCCACATGCTCCATGCAAATTCTCTAATTCAATTGTTTGCTCCTGATCTTTTTTGTATCTTTTGCTTCTTCTTAGACATCGAGAAGCGGTATTCAAGCTCTGCAACAAAGCTGCACCGTTACCCTCTCTGTCGAGGCCGAGTCTAAATTTAGACGAAGATCCAACAAAACCCGAGGACCCCAAGATTTCAACAGAGTCATCATCTTCTATTTCTTCCTCATCAGATAATTGACATAACTTTCCATTATCATGTTTACTGCATGGAAACTGGATCTCAGTGACAGTCAATTCAATGATAAGACCTTGTGTAGCCGACACTTGTGAACCTTTTGCCCTTTTTGTTGGATGATGCTCCTCTACATCAATTCTCTCTCTTTTGTCCTTAAGCTCACTCTCATTCAACAGATTAAAACCCTGATCACTAACTGGTGGAGTCTGTGCTTGTAAATTCTCAACATTCTTACTCACAAACAAATCTGCACTTTTACCCTTTTTGTTGAGTACCGGACTAAATTTAGACGAAGATCCAACAAAACCCGAGGACCCCAAGATATCAACGGAGTCATCATCTTCTATTTCTTCCTCATCATCAGATAATTGAAATTGCTTTCCATTATCATGTTTACTGCATGGATACTGGATCTCGGTGGCAGTCAAATCAAAGATAAGAACATCGAAGCTTGAATTCCCTTTATATTTGAAGACTAAGAAGCTCCCGTAACTGATTGAGTGATGTTCCATAAATTGTTGCCAACCATCACAAAACCAAATCATTTTGTCAGTCTTCTCCAATGCCACATGGGAAACTTGGCCAGTAGGAACAGTGAGTATGGAAACAGCAGAGAGTTCATCACCGTACTTCCTAACAAACTTTTCCGGGATCCTCTGCAGATATGGAAAATCATTCACTCAACATGAATGTAGCTCCGAAAATTGTAAACACTATACTGTTCATCAAAGAGCAGCACACATACAGAGCAAAAATTTTACAAGAAACTGTTTTGGTTTGGCACGAGTTGCCTTTTCCTTGGTTCTTCAATTTTAATAGTTTATAAGATTAGCTACAACATTACCCTATGCTTAACCTTCTACAGGAAAAGAAAAAAAAAAAAAAAAAAAAAGATTTAACTGAGAGCATATATAAACTTGTGTAATTTTTTTTTAACATATATATAAACAAGTTTAATTGGGAGAGGATATAAACTTGTATTTTTTGAACATATTATATATATATAAATAAATAATGGGAGCTGATATATAAACAAGTTTAACTGTCTCTCCTTATTTTCTGCTCCAATCCTCCCTTCTCTCCTCCTTTATCTGTATACTCTATTGAGGATATCACTAAAACTGGGACTTTCACTCATACATAGATACATATATAAAAACTGGGACTTTCACTCATACATAGATTATATATATATATATATATAACCCACCCTTTTCTTTGTTTCCTCATCAACAAAGAGCATCTTTTTGTCCATCTCTATTGACTTCTCATCTTTGATTAAATTCTCTTCTTAAATTAAATTTATTCCAAACGAAAACATGCATTACACATGTAGGTCAAACAATCTGGCCAAGAAAGGAAGTTTATGGAAATATAACCTTCCTAAAACTTAAGCAAAGATATAACCTTTTGACTGCAGCATTATATTTGGGTGATCAATGATGTTCAAGAATAACACGGTTAATTCATTTGGGTGATCATGTTTAATTATTTTGAGATCAAGACATTATGATCCACATTTCAGAATTATTTCACATGGGACAATTAATTTGGAAATTAAGATCCAAAAATATTGAGATATATTTGAAGAAAATCCAACATGAGAATAAAAGTAAAATCAACTGCACATGTTAAAAATAAAATACAAACAATAACAATCCACAACAATCTATAATAATTTAATGAAGTTAAATCGTTTTTCTGTTTTTTTGGGTAATTCTTTTTACAGTTCATGGTTCATTACTCCCTTATTATGTACAATTAAAAAAGAAGAGCCATACCGAAAGGTCCAATTTTTACAGTTCATGGTTCTTCACATCACTTTTGTTTTACCAATGTTCAACAAAGCATAACATAAAGGAATATAAATAGAGAGAGAGGATAATATCTTACCAGCTTCTTCTCATGAATACTGGAGTGTAATATTATTTTGAAGAATTTTGATGATGGTCTCGGCCGAGAATTTGTCAGGCCGCAATCGCTTCCGTTGGGTTCCATTTCCCGCTTGTGTTGCTGCATTACTATACCTAGGCTATGTATATGAAAAAGATATATATAAATATATGTATGTATGTACCAACTGAGTTCTCTTGATCTCTGCAAGGAGGGTAATGGAAAAACTCCTCTTGGGAATATGAGAGGCAGCATTTACCAGAATACCTGGCACGCCCATTTTATCTTTACCCAAGAAAGTCATAATGCTGTCTTCTTTTTTTATGGAAATTGGTAGTGGGGTTATATCGACATTTTTCAAACACCACGTAATTCTCCAAATTTCAACTTTGGGATGTACTTCAATGATGTATTTTTGCTCTCTGAAAATATTAATTTTTTTAAAATTTTATTCTCGTAACGACTATATTATTAAAATGGCTATATCATAATAGGGTTGATATATTTATAGAGAAAAATGAAAGGTATTTTTTAAAAAAGTAAATAAATAAATATATATAATTATTTTTAAAAAATTAAAAAATAGGTTTTTGTGCCAATATAGCTGTTAAGGCACTGTTTATATCAACCAAACAGTGCCTAAAATGGCTATATGTCCGTAGGAATATTTTAAAAAGTAATTTTTTTAAATAAAAAAAAACACTTTTCTTTTCTTTTTCTTTTTTAAACTTTTTTTGCCCAAAAAAGCTTTTAAGGCACTGTTTGTGTCAGCCAAACAGTGCCTTAACGACTCTTTGGTTCAATTATTTTGTGGAAAAAAAAAAAAAGAGAGACCAAAAGAAGCCAAAAATCTGTTTTTTTTTTTTTTTTTTGCTTTTTTTCAAGCAAACATGTACTTAGGAACAATGTTCTGGGCTAAAACACTGTTCTGGGCAGGATATAAAAAATAAAAATAAACAAAACTGAAGCGGGCCCACATGAAAGGCCCGCTGCTCGCCAAGAGGATTGCGGTTTTCCGCGACCTATTCCGCCACCCATTGGGTGGGGCCCAATTTTTGGCAACGATATTGGAGGAGTCCAATAGCGAAATCCGGCGTAGAATCGCTGGATTTGAGACCATTGGACCTACTCTTAGCTCTAATACCTGGCACGCCCATCTTTGTCTTTACCCAAAAAGTCATAATGCAGTCTTCTTTTTGAACAATACTTCGTTGGGAGGATGAAGTTCATCTCCGCACTGACATGGCAACATATTATTGCGTCACATGTCCCACACTAAAATCACAGTGAGGTTCAACGTTCCCAATTCCCAGCTTCTGCCACCAATTCCCCTTTCCTCGCCTTCGTTCCACCACCCTCCTTCAATGCCCTCCCTCCGCCTCCCCCTCCCCTTCCCCTTATCTTCCCCTCTCGATCCCTCTCCTCTGCAACGCGCCACCACCATGCCCGAATTCATCCCTAAACCCGATCTCAACCATAACTGCTTTCATGTCCTTGTTATAATCAACGGGAATCAACTGAACGATGTGATACCCCTTGATTTAAGAACACGGGGTTGATCAAGTCCGCGCACGAGACCGAGAGTGATATCAAACAATTAATATTTTAAATCAAAAATAGAATACAAAAAGATAAATAAACAAAGAAATAATCTCACTGAAATGAAAAATGATAAATAAATAAATAATCTCCTTTAAATAAAATCCATTACTCGTCAAAGATAGATAAAAATCTCATTTGAATAAATTCTCCAAAAGAATACAACTCGGAAATCCTCACACATGGACCCCTATTTAAAATCCCATAACTGAAAATAAATAAATGTCTAATAAATGAAATAACTAATTAGAAGATAGAATCCTACGTCGATGATACCGAAAAAGTGATGATGCCAAGTCTTTGATATGCACGAACAACTGTTAATCCTGATACTGACGAGGACCTGAAAAAAATAACAATGGTTGGTCAAAACCCAGTACAAGTCCTTTCTACGACAACCCAAATAGAGATGTGAAAAAATTACACATCTATAGCTAATTCATGCAATAGCTACATTGTCGATAAGAATATAAATATACACACTAAAGACTCTCATCGGACTAAGGCAGACTCTACCGTGTAGTGAGTATCTCATCCAAATCGCACACAAAGGTGACAAGTCCTCCTTTTACCAGGGCACACACGTCTCTAAATCTAACTACCCATCTTAACTGCCAATATACGCCTCCATTCTAACCACTAATTACAACACCTCAAGCTTGTATCATGGTACATATAAAATCTGATAAGTGCTTAAATGTTGCACATTTCAGCACCTAAGTTAGGGTATTTTAGTCCTTGCATCTATCTTACTTTCATGTTTTAGTTCTAATTTATGTTTTTGTCAATTTCAGGTTAATAAGGTTCAAACGAATTAATTTTGGTTCACTAAAGCCTTTTTGGAGTCAAGCAAAGACAGTTGGAAAAAGTTTAGAAAATGACAAAAAGAGACCACTGCCATCAAAAGCGGTCGATTCCACCTTTTTCGGGCCATTGATGATGTTCCCAAAGATCAAGACGCAAACAAATTAGCCTAGGGCCAATATGAAGCTAAATAAGGTTTGAGGGAAGTTTCGAACACTGGGGGATCGATCCCCCCCCCCCCCCCCCCTATTCACAGAACTAAAAATACCCCTAGGGGATCGATCCCCCGGCCCCTGGCAGCATTGCGGGATTTATGTTTACTTGGCTATGAGATTTTCTTATTTTGGGTTTATTTTGTAACTTATTGGTCTCTAACAAGGCTTATATTTAAGGAAACCAAAACCCATTAGCTTGGGCAGAGTTTTTATTATTTTGATTATTAAGTTTTTATTTTTTAAAATCGATATCACGTTCTCTCTGGAAAACACAAAAAAGAGGAAAGCTAGGGTTCTTGAGAAAAGTTTAGAGAAGAAGAAGGTGAGCCAGATGAATCAAAGGATGAGGCTTGTTGACATCTTGCATCCATCAACCATGAACGGCTAATTCTTCAACTTAGGGTTGGATAAACCCTAAGCATGTAACCTAACTTTTCTCTCTTTTACTATTTTGGGGATTTAATTTATGTAAATTTTGTTATAGCCTTGAATAATTCTTTCAATTGATTATCTTTGTCAATCTTATATTGTCTTATATGTTTTTGAATGATAATTGATCTTTATACTTGATTTCTTTGTGAATTGAATCATGTGATGGCTATGCATTGTATTAGTTTAATGTAATTGTATTCTAATTTGATGGAAATTGCTTATATTAGATGGGTTGTACTACACAATTAGGTTAATGTCTAGTTTAAATAGTTTAATTTCAGGTTTGGTTAGTTTAATTTAAGGTAAATTAGTTAATTGCAATTTAATTATTAGGTAAGTAGACAATCCATACAATTGTTTGAAATCCATACTTATTGTTACAACTACATATCCTCTATATTAATGCATGTTAAATTTCTAACTTGAATTGATGAATCATGCTTTGAATTGGTGAATTGCACTACACTTAGTTTAATTGTCATTAGGTAGTTGATTCATACTTGAAATTGATGGTTTACACTTTTCATTGCAATTGTTAGCCACATATAGATTACATAGTATTATTTCCCCAATTAGTTGAAAGTTAGTGAGTTAGGGAATGTGCTTAGTGGTGAATCCTACACCCTAAGTCTCTTTCTAATCTCTTAAACTCTATTTCTTTATTGCAATCATTTAGTTTAAAATTAGTTTTATCACAAACAAAACCCTTTTTAACAATCACATAAGAACTAAAGTAGAATTCAATTCCGAAAACCAATAATTGTTTAGATCTCTTGGGATGATCCCTACCTGCTTCATATTCCATAGTATAAGTGTTTAGTGATTTTATAAATTATAAAATATGATGCCCACTTGACATTATTTCTAAACCTAAAGTGATGTGCATTATTTTGTGCACACGCTCGGTCGCATCATAATTTTGGCACCGTTGCCGGGGATATAACGGCTTTAAAGAATTGAATTAGACATTAGTTCTTTGTTGATTGTCTACTTTTACGTCATTTTAATTTTTATTTTCTCAATTGATTTGTCAATTAGGTACTTGAAACAAAGTGGAGCAAACGCTGGACTTAGACGTAATTAAATTTTTTTTGAAGTTGCTTAAGGACAATTTATAAGTTTCTCTTTAATTTTGTGCTTAATTGTTTACTGTTTTGCATACTTTGGACAGCCCAAGTAGATGCTTAAATTGAATTGTTTTATTTCTAAGTCCAAGCATACCTTCTTGTAGAAGGCATCGGCCCGTGTGGAGGCATTTAATTGTTTTAAGTGCATTGATATTATTAAGGAGTTTGGGAATATCATATGTGGAGGTTGAAAAATTGAAGTGTTGGTGTGTTGACTTATTTTAGTGCATGCATGGTAGTAGATCACTTAATCGTTCTCTTGCTCCTGTAAATCAAAATCTCGAATTTTCTCTTCGGCGTTTAAGAGTTAGTACTAGGGATAGTCATCCTAATCTTCCAAATTTTGATCTTCCATCACCTTTAATAGAAGACCTAATAGATCTAATTGAAGATCCTATTGTAGATCTTGGTCATGTGGATCATAACGGTGTGCACCACCCACCACAAGTTTATATTGTGGATCCTCAAGGTGTGCATCCACCCTTGGGAATGCCACGACCAATCAATCCTGTTGTGCAACAACCAAATTTAAGGATGCCAAAGCCAAATGTTGTTCCCCCAGTTGGTGAGCAACAACAACAATATGTTCAAATGGCATACCCTCAACAAGGTCAAATGGCATATCATCAGCAAGGTCAAATGCCATATCATCTTCTCAATCCTCTCAATCCTCTAATGGTCCTTAGGGATCGTTACACTCCAAATCAATATAATGCACCCACTTGCATTCAATTGCCAAATTTCAGTGCTCATCATTATGAGATTAAGGCTTCCACCATTAACATATGCCCCCTTTTCTATGGGTTGAGCAATGAAGAGCCTTATAAACATTTAGATGAGTTCTTGGAAGTCTGTTCCACCGTGAAAATCACGGATGTGCCAGAAGAAGTCCTTAAAATGAAGTTTTTCCTTTTCACTCTTTGGGATAAAGCTAAATATTGGTTTTACAACTTGTGGTCAAATACAATCACCACTTGGGCACAATTGCAACAAGAGTTCCTAAAAAAGTACTATCCTGCGAGTCAAACCGATGCCATGAGAACTTCCATTCATGAATTTAAAGAAGAAGAAGGA